TCTATAGTGCCAAAGTATGTCAAAACTCCCCACACCATGACACCACCCGCACAGCTGTGCGGTATGCTCTTCCTTTCTGAGATCATGAAAGTAGTAGACATAGCCGTCAGGACCCTCAAAATTGAACTTCACCTGAAAAGACTACACGCTCCCACTCCTTAGTCCAGGTCATATTTGATCGACAGAAACTGTGTCGTTGCATCTTTCTAAGTTGGTTTAGAGGTGTTTTTTTTTTTAAATTTTAGATGCTTCATATGTTCAGCATTCGAAATAACTCACGCTTTAACACCAGTTTTTTCCTTTATTTTGGCGGCTGAGGCGTGGGAATTAGATGCGTGTCGTAGTATGATTCGCTTGTCAGCTGCTGTTATTAGTGATGTTGGCCGACCTTTCATGTTTTTCCCATATGTATCCTCATTGCTTAAATATGCGGTAATAACTTTACGGCTGCGCTTAATATGTTTTTGATATTTAAAGAATAGAGTGCCCGCACTCCCTGTAAGCCTCTAATTTGCCTTTTTCAGAATCGTCCAACGGTTTTCCTTTGCCCATTATTACTTTATTTTATTGATAATTAGTCCCAATAATTAAATAATTTTCTTAAACACCCAATCAAGGCAGCTTACACGCAAAAAGTGACAAGAAAGCGAAAATATGCTAATCGGCTGTCGCAAAAAACCTGCATGCATTTTTGTCGCACTTCAAAGAAAAAATCAAAGCAAAATAACGGTACACTTCCAGAGTTCACAGTTATACTCAGAATGAACGAAAATGATACAGAATAAAAGGAAAAATATAATGCGCATGAAACATATTCAGAGTAGGGAGTTATTTTCTTTTAAACTGATAGGTTAGAGAGTGTGCTAATCGGTTGTCGCGCAGTGTACCTAACCTCAATTCCAATCAAATTTATTTTTGTTAATTCTTCAGCTGATTTGTAAATTATTTGAAGCGTTTAATTTTGGTAGCTTAAGAGGTTACATAGATCTTGAAAACCAAAAAAAAAATTTATTTAATTTTTTTTTTCACAAGGTACTAATTAAAGTATACTATTTATTTTGTTTACATATAAAAGTACAATACGTGGACACATTTGATGAAAATTAGAATGAAAAATAGTATAAGCTAAAGCGCTGGCAGTGTCGTAAAGTAGATCGTCCACAAGAAAGTGCTTTCGCTTTAGTCATGATAACTTTTTCATTTTTCATCCGAAATCAAAAATCCAAATTTTTTCTTAAAGTAAGTGAATTTTCCTTGTCTCTGTACGAAGAAAAATTTAAAAAAAAAATAAAAATTAAATTTTTTTAGTTTGTTTTTACGTAATTTTTTGCATAAAATAGGTCACATATTAGCTTTAAAATGAGTTGAAATCAAAGATAGAATAAAGCCCTCGTTGAGGGACTACAAAAACATGCATAAAAGAAGTGTGGAAAATTTGAACTCGATCGCGTCAATAGTCGTTAAGAAATATTGGTTTTAAGAAAAACGCCTTTCATGTGTCGCCATCGGTCAAGCCATGACAAAGAATGATTTCTACAGTTTCGTCTCGATTGACTTGAAACCTGGGGAAAACATTTCTGACACTCTGTACTTTTATACAAAAAATTATCAAAAAAAAATGAAGTTTTTGAAGTTTCGAGACCTATGTAATCCCCTAAGGGTGGAACCTGGTTAAGAACACTGAAATTTGCTTGATATTCGGCACAGTGTTTTCGGTTGCCTTACGTATGAAATGTTTCAAGTACTTTTGAAATAGGTCATAGATACACAAATCTTGCAAAAAAAGATTTACTTTCACTTTATTTGATACTGTTAAGCAATAAAAATTCGTATTTATTTGTGGCACTTCTCGCTAGGAGAGTCTATTTTGTGAACACGATATCGATCGTAGTTTTTATCTGAAACATAAAAACGAATACCTTTTTTGTAGCTTAGGAGTTGCTCTTCTATGTGAACCTAAGATATTCGAAGAAATGTATAAAATTATTTATAATATTTTGCGACTGTTTATAAAAAATTTTGCGTTTTTTTGAAGAAATTTTGAGATAATTTATTGAAAAAAGTTAATAAAATTTTTTTTATTGTTTTTATTTTTTAGGTTCATATAGAATAGATGTAAAAAAATAGTTATATATACACACTTATGCAAATGCGACCATTACAACTTTTTTAATCGTGTGTACAAACCACAAAAACACTGTTTTGAGAAAATCGCATTCAAAGTTCTCGCGCCCGCTTATCAGTCTCCTGAGCGCATTGTCTCCCAGAGGCCATTTCTGCGGAACGATTAGGAATTTGACTGTGAAATTTTGTGGAAATATTTCTGAATATATTTCTAATCGAATGAGATAAGTTTCACAAAATCAATTTTTTTGACCCTCTAAACCAGGTTCCCTCCTTAATCCCTTCATTTCGGCTATTCAAAATGTAAATTATTGAACAATTTTTCAATGTAAACTTAATGCGCGTTTGTTACGATGCCATGAAGAGGTCGCGCTAATACTGATCTGCAATTTTAGATGGCTATCGAATACTGTGATAATTGCAAAAACTTTGAAAGGAACTTAAAAGGGGGGAGATAGCTTGACTCCACGAAATCCAGTGAGCTCCTACGATTTGACATTAAAATTCAAAAGTATTCAGTTTCTAGTGAAACACGCATTTTTGATGACATCCAATTAGTCATAAGGACAGTCGCTAGAAGCGTGTGGCATCAATCTGGAAATGCCAAGTTTTTCACATGGGCAACTACAAGTGACGTGTTCACTAATTGGTTAACCATTTTCTCTGTACATTTACACACCAGAACAGAAAACAAAAAATGTTGTTTATCAAGCTGCGTTACATTGCAAAAAATTTGGGCAAATTCATTAATAAATGATTTTCAAAGCTTTTTTTCTTTATTATTATTATTTATTTAAAAAAAAAAATTGTGTAACATAACCTCAGAAAATGTGAAAAAGGTGTCGCAATAAATATGACACATAACTCAAATTTTTAAAATATTCATAAATGTACATACTCGTATGTTTTTTTACTTAACTGCTCCTAGAGACATAAAAACTCTTATAACAATTTTCCGCTTTTCTTTTTTATGCCTTTGCAGTTAATACTAAAAAATGCAAAAAATCAAATAAGAGATTTTTATATAATTTATCTTATATATATATTTTTTTTTAAAAATCTCTCTTGTAGTAAGTGATGCTGCCAGCAAGCAAATAAGTAGTTATATCCGATATACAAAAAAAAATCCAGAATATATACAAACATTATTTTTGCTGTTATTGTAGTGCCGGAAAAAATACATTTTCTTCATTACATATACATTTCACTACTTTTTCTGCATTAACTTGAAGTAATTTGGTACAAATATGTAATATGCGAAATTGCACTTAAGTGTGCTCCCAACATACCACGACTAACATACGCACTTAGATATATATGTATGTATACATATATTATATTATCAGAAGTGCAAAACTGTATACACGTATGTATGCTCGCACATGCCGACGAACTGCTTTGCTATGGAGTAAAAATTTGTGGAAAATCTGCAATTTGAATTTCCACTTTGCATGCAATGTTGCACGAACGAAAATTGCCGCCAGCTTGCTTGGCTTGCTGCTCGCTTGCCTGCCTGCTTTCCTGTCTGCCTCAAAACTGTTATTACCTACATATGAAAATATTAATGCTTATAAGCTCTTGCTTTTGCTTATGCATTATTTCTGTTTATTTTTTACATGATTCGCTTTTCAATAGAAATACTCACTGCACTAACTCCCTCAGAGCTTTTTTGTTGCAAAAGTTATTTGGTAGCAGGCAGCATGTCACTCATATTGTGGCATGCAAGCTAAGTAAAGCTTAGTGAAATTTAAAATTTTAAAGGTTTGCTATTAAAAATTTGTTAGGAAGCAGTGCAGTAGCTTTTTTTTATTAAATTTGTTTTCTAATTGGATTTGAAGAAATTGTAAGCAAAATGACGTGCCGATGAACACTTGATTGGCAGATGTTCATTAGAAATTTTTCTATTAAGCTACATATACGTAGGTATAAGAAGGTATATATTTCTACAAAATAAAAGAGATAAATTAAAAGAAAAGAAGAAAAAAATATATTAAATGAAATAAACTAAGGAAAAATAAAATAAAATAAAAAAATACAAAATAAAATAAAATAAAATAAAATAAAATAAAATAAAATAAAATAAAATAAAATAAAATAAAATGAAAAAAAATAAAATAAAATAAAATACAATAAGCTAATGTAAATTAACATAAATTAAAGCAAATTTAAATTAATTAAAATGAAATTATTATAAAAAAAATTAAATGAAATAAAAAAAAATCAAAATAAAATAGAATGAAATTAAATGAAATTAAAATAAATAAAATGAAATATAAAAAAGTAAAATATAATAAAATAAAATCAAATAAAATAATATAAAAAATAATGGAGTAAAATAAAAAAAATATATTTGAACACTCATTTGGTTTCTAGTGGACCTTAATATAGATTCAAATAAAGCATGCATTTGTCCAAATTTTATGTGTTTATTTTTGAAAAACTTTCCGATTCCTCTAAAAAAACCCCTTTGTAATATAATGGTGCTAAAACCCTCAATTATTCTTTGAGTATCTTCTTTTTTTCACGTAATCCTTCAAAAAATATACTCGTATTTCCATCTGTGGGAGGAAACTATTTACCATTTCTTTTGGTAAAAAATTAGAAAATATAAATATTTCTTCTGGAAAATAACAGAAACATCGTCAAACCATAATTATTTCATTAAAACCTTTCCCTGATGGTTTTCGATAATGCCCAATTTTTTCCACATCTTCATTAATTCATCGTGTTGAAAATGCAACGTCAACGTTTGTTGCAATTACAGTGTGTGCTCTAAAATGTACGCCTTACACCGTACAACCATAATAAATCGACTCAAATTGCATTTACTAATTTACTAACACAAAGCTTTCTCTGCCTCTCACTCTATCTTGCAGCCACGGCGTTGGGCAATCACCATGAAATGCTTACGCTTAGTCCCTCCGAACATTCTCTGGTGCGTTACACGAACGATTCGCTGATAGTACAATGTCGCAGTTCAGCATCCGATGCACAGTTGTTGTGGCGGTCGCCGAAAGGTGAAATAATTAAGGAACATAAAGGACGTATACATATTGAGCAGAATGCGCCAGGTAAGTGACATGTAGAGTGAGTAGTTAGACAGTGAAACCATTGCTGCGTCAAGCGCACATGCTGAGCAGCTCATGAACCTCGAAAGATCTGTGTGCTGTGCGTGTGTGCGTTTGTGTTCGTTCGTAGTGTAATTTTGCCCTTAAATGCCTATTAAGCGCCGTTGTTAACACAAATCATTGTTAATTTTCTTTCATGCTCAAACATGCACACCCGCGCTTAAACCAATACCCGCCTGGCTGAACGGATGCCTACACAATTCGCGGATCTACGCTGTCGTGCCCGCTGAAAAACGCGTTTATCTGCCCATTCTTACACTCTATAGAACAATTGAAAATTGTTTTCTTACACATTTCACTCGGCGACAAGGGCAAGTGGCGTTGTGAGGATGCGAACGGCGATAGAGCTGAAATGTCCTTCGAACTCATTGTCTATCGTAAGTAGCTGTGTCTAAGTATCAACTTTCTGAGACGCCTAGCATACAATCTCAGGGCTCGCTTTATAAAAACAAAGTTTTTCTGTTTGATTTTCCTTTGTATTTAAAGCGGAAAAAGCCTGCTAAAGCGTCTCATTATAGTTGCTAATGTACTTTTCATTGAACTTTTTCATAAAATACAATATTTTTTTGCTTTCTTCTCTTTTCTCATAGAAAAAATTGCTTTTACCGAGAACTCCACTATACTCACAGTGAAGGAGGGTAAAGATGCATTCATACGTTGCGAAGTGAAGGGAGAACCCCAGCCGAATGTCACGTGGCATTACAATGGACAGCCAATTATTGTTGAATGTGAGTAGCTCAATTAGTGCTGTAACTATCTGTTGGTGTGAATTTGTCTAATTTTACACGAATTTCGCTTAATGCTTGAAAAAATCAGGGGAATTGCACTGAAAAAAAAAATAAAGCAAAATAAAATAAAATAAAATGAAATACAAAGAAATAAAACAAAATAACCTAAACTAAAATAAGATAAAATAAAATAAAATAAAATAAGATAAAATAAAATAAAATAAAATAAAATAAAATAAAATAAAATAAAATAAAATAAAATAAAATAAAATAAAATAAAATAAAATATAACAAAATAAAATAAAATAAAATAAAAAAAGTTAAATTAAATTAAATTAAATTAAATTAAATTAAATTAAGTTAAATAAAATAAAATAAAATAAGATAGAATTAAATAAAATAAAAACAAAAATAAAGTAAAATAAAATACAAGAAAATTAAATAAAGTAGAATAAAATGTGATGAGATAAAATACATTAAAATAAAATAAATAATAAATAAAACCTAATAAAAAAATAATATAAAATAAATAAAAAATTAAAATAAACTAAATCTAAATTAAATGAAGATAAAAATATTAAGCACAACGTATACCCTTTTCCCGCCCAGCCGACTGAGGAGAACCATCCGCGTAACGGAAATGTGCCACAAATACCAATGTATCATTCAGTTCATAATTTCACTTTAATAGTGAAAGCTTAAATTGCCTAGATATAGAGTTGGAACTTTGATGTTTACCACACACAATCGTTTAGAGCTGCTAATTGTTCCGTTTAAAAGTTTGACTACAAGCAATGAAGTTTGGATTGTCAGAAACGATTTAGAATACTGCATCAGATTACCGAAAGTAATTTAGTAACTTTCATATAGAAATTGACAGAATTTCTTTAGTCACAAGGAATTTTCTTTAACTAACTTTAACCCTCTCTCAACAACAGTTCATATACTACTCCGCACTTTTCTCTGATTGCGTTGATAAATCTCTTAATAATAAGTAGAAGTAAAATTTTCATCTAATACATGTCCGAAATGTATTGAGCAGGCTAACAACATTTGAGAAATATAAATACAAATGAGAAAAAAAGTCTACCAAATTGTATTATATTCTCCATTCTTTTCTTTAAACTGTATTTACAGACAACTCAACAAAGTTCCAAATACTAGCTGATGGATTGCAGGTCCGCAAGGTAACTCAGAACGACACCGGCGAATATACGTGCCGCGCCTATCAAGTGAATACAATCGCATCGGACATGCAGGAGCGTACTATTTTGATGAAAATCGAACGTGAGTGGGATATCTATGTTAACCGTGCCTATGTTAGATGAAAATTACTATAACCGAATAAGTACAAATAAAAGAAAACACACATTTAGATGTATATAAATACATAAATACAACATCATATTAGGGTGCACCAAAAATTAAGTTTTCAAAAATTAAGGCTCATCATTTCAGGAAATGTTGGTACCAATAAAATACTACGAAGCTTTATATAATTATAATGGAGTGGGTTATAGAAGCTTGAAGAAAGGAATAAGAAAATTTAACGCTAACTTTTAAGCTTTTATAACTCAAGTTGACCTTGGTTTTTCTTTCCAAAATCTCATTAGGTTTACATTAGAATTACAAGTTCCGTGAGTTTTTGGAAACCGTGCGCCGTATTAAAAATGAACAACATATCAACCAACAACTATTAAGTGCTCTAATTTAGCCGCTATTTTCTTAACAGCTTGGTAAGTGAGTTGTATTGGAATCCTCTATACTTTCAGGCGTTGGTTGACTGAAAAATGTATGGGCAGGATTAAGTATCAGGTTCAACTTATATATTTATAATTTGTTTTTGCGGCCATGGTATATATTAATTTTATTAAGTAAACTGAGGCCTGGTTGGTTGTTTATTTTTTTTTTCTTGAAGAAAAATAAATTTTGGTATTTTTCAATATGTTTTTTTATTATTTTTAAGCAAACTATTATACAAATAAACCGTTTGTGAATTGTAGTCCTATACGAAAAGTTGCTGGAGCTTAAAGCAGCGACATCTGGCGTAATATATAATGTTATCAAAGGAAAATAAAATGTCTAAAAGTGTGCAGCCCATTTCACCAATTTTCTACCACTTTAAGGAAAAAAATTTAAATTAAGTAAAAAAAATTTAAAGTTCAAAATTTTCTATTGAAAAAAAAAGGCGGCTGATATCACATGTAGGTCAAAAATAGCATGATTGTTACTTCTAAGGTACATCGATTTCTAGTTGTGTTCCTTCGATCAAATCCTTAGGCGAGTATATTTGATCTTTATTCAAAGAGAGGGTAATTAGAGGTAAATTATATAGTCTATTGTATGGGACAAAAGGGAAGTAATGGGCCGATCGCGCCAATATTTGAATAGTGTTCATATTAGATCTCGTACATTTTTATTGAGTTCTTTTTTCCATGCCGTGGTTTTTGAAATATAATTTACGGCATTAAAGCGGATGGCGCGGCACACCAGAAACCCCATCCTTCATCCCTAACAAATATGACTTTGATTGCTCAATTGCATTAACAACGGAACTTGTAATCCAAAGTATGTGTAAAGCTACTTTCTTCAAAATATCTCAATCTTTACTCGAGTTATCATTTGCAGACATACGAGCAAACAGATATGTTTGAAGCAAGCCGAACGGACTACTCGAATCTATGCTTACTCTCACTCAAGTTGGCCTATGAGAGTTACAAGCAAGCCGATCCAAGCTTATATTCAAATAATACTTCTTTTCCCACGTAAAAAAACATTAATTATATTTCGAGAAAATCAAGCTTTGATCCAGGTCCCTGGTTCATTTCTAGGAAACAACAGATTTCTATTGAGGTATTTCTTCCAAAACTATAACCAAATTGGATCATGAACACGAGTATGTATGTTTCTTTCGAATTGATTGGTTTTCGCAAAGGTTGGTATATTGTCCAGATACCGGAGAAAAGAGAAGTGTTCCTGCTACGGAACTCCTTGGTTCCCTTCCCGGAAAATAGAGTAATCTCTCTTTCTTCTTAGCAAAAATCCAGCTCTCAAAAAAATAATACGGTTTATTTTGAATAGATTAGTGTGTAGTCCAATTTATAAAGATTTTTTTGTACAAACCTTTATAAGAACTATAGAAACGAACTGAAAATTTTTCGGTATAATCTGCAGATAAGCTTCAAAGATCAGAGGAAACAGACATGAAGAGAAATACTTATACTAGGGGATCAACAAAAGCTCGGTCAGCTGGTGACTTTCAATTTGTTTTTGTTAAATCCAAAAATACTTCGATACTTTATTAGACCTCCTTTCAAATTTTAGAACAATCAGCTAGAATTAAGAAGAGAACGCGCAGAATAGCTGAGGATAAGACGGACGAAATTCCACGACCAACGCAAACAGAAATTCTCCTTGTGATTCTCTTCAAATTTGGCGTAATTTACAGCCAATACAAATATTCAGTGAAGGCCAAATTGCATATGGAACAATTGCACCGTGTTTAAAGACTATTTCTAAGTGGTTCCGAAGATTCCAGACCTGACATTTTTCAGTAGAGGACGAGCCTCGAGAAGGTCGACCAAAATCTTTCACTTTTGATGTCGCTGTAACTCTGGTTAAGTCCCATATGGAAAAAGAGCCACGATTGACAAATGACAAGTTAAAGGATGAAATTATTGCTAATGAATTAGGCTTGAATATCATGGCTGTATTGCGAATATTAAGTAACCATCTGGGATACCGTAAAAATTTGCTATCAAAATGAGGCCAAAAAAGAGACTCGAATGCATTTTGCTTAATTTTTCTTAAACAAATTCGAAATTTGTTAGTATAGCAACTTTAGTAAAGACGGTACTGGTGACGAAGCGTGGTTTGATAAGTGCGATCCAGAAACTAAACAGCAGTCCATGGTACGGAGCCCAATTGAAAAAGACCCACCCGTAAAATCTAAGCAAAAAAAAATGCGCATCAAAAGTAATGATGCCAGCTGACTTCACCCGATCTAAAATCGTAGCTGCTATTTCATTCGATGGGGGTCAGAAATTAACTGCAGAATGGTACATCGAAGAGTGCTTACGAAATTACCAATTATATATGTATATACATAAGTTCCCTGAAACTCTCGCAGCACAATAAAATATCTGTTCAGATATAAAAATATGCACACCCTAACATCTAACGTCGTATATACGATATGTACGTATCCTACTCTACGTAAATGAAAAATTTTTCCGTAAGCCTCACTGACTGCCCTTACTGCCTGTAGTAGAGTGGAAGCAATTTTCATTTGAACTCAAACTCCGCACTGTGAGTAGTTAAGCTGCTACCGTTTCCTCCGTCGCAGCTGCTCGCTTACTCGCTGGTATATCCGCTTTCAGCAGCGTAACCAGGTAGTGAGCATGTGTTCATTTCGCTATCTGCTTTGACTTCCGCGCCGTGCGCTCTTTTTCAATATTTTTGCTTTTCTATTTTTGTAGACTATTTCCGTCTTCGTTCGGTGCACTGAGCTTTAGCGCAATGAGCGAAAATAGTGAATTTTATTTATTTGTCATCTTTGTCCTATTTTTTATTATCTACTCTTTGTCTTATCGCACATATGCGAGTCAAATAATTTAGTACGGTTGGGGGGGGGGGTGAAACTTTGTAAATTGCATTGTATTTTTTTTATACTTCTTCCGCAGTAGTTGTTGTTGGAAATAAAACATACTTTTGTTTACGTATTTTTTTTTTTTTTTTTTTTTTTTTTTTTTTTTTTTGTATATATATATCTCGCTTTGTTTTTGTGTGTTAAATTCTGCTCCAAAATATTGTCTCCTCAATCGCCATTTTATTTGTTGGTTGATTTATTTGTTTGTTCGACGGTGTTTACACACAGTGGCGTTGCTGGTTGCCTTTCCATTCATTCAGGTCTCTTGATTGTGTTTTCGTGACTGAGGCAAGCAAGCCCACACGTACACACACACACACACACAAACATGCAATTACAAAATCAGCCAAAAATGGTTGGAAAAAAATTCGCCACTCTCCACTCAATACGCATGCGGCAATTTATTTGGGCTTTCCATTTTTTAAAGGTAACGGTATTTTCTTTCGATTTTGTTCGAAAAAAAAAAACGTATGCATCGCTATCAAACACACCACTTGCATTTCCACGTGCATCATTTTACAATTTCTCTACATTTTTTTTTTTACCCCCAAAAATCTGCTCTCCTGGCAAGCGCTCCACTTTGCGGTCACGTGTTGAGCGTTGAAAACGGAAATTCAATAGATTTTTATACCTTTACTTGCATTCTGAGCGGACTCTCCGCTGCGTCCACCTTTTGCTACGGCTCTAGTCATCCTTTCCACATTTCACAGTTGCTGAACTAATTTTAATCGCCCTTTGCTTTTGATGAGTTTTTAGTGTGTCTTGAGTGATTTCGAATTCGTATTCAATTTCTATTACTGCCGGTGTGATTTGATTTGATTTTTCACCTACTTTCATTTTTTCAATTTTTTTTTTTCGAAATCGCTTTGTGGTTTGTAGCTGCAGCTGTTGGTGATTTATGGTGATGGGTTGAGATTTGGTTTTGGGCAGCGTGTCTTGCTTCTAATGGATTTACGTGAGAAGTGTTTCTAAAAATTTCACATAATTTTCAAATAGGTCACTTGCTTATAGTAATGAGCATAGTTCAAATTTATAGTGCCCACAAAGTGCGAATTACAAAAAAAAAAAATTAAAAAAAATTTAACAAATTTTCAAAAGTCGCACGAATCTAACATTTTTGGAAGACCAAATGACCGCAATGCAATCTATTTAAATACTTAAAAGTATTTTTAGCATAAAACTATTCAGAATAGTTACAGAAATATATTATATTGATAAAAATTCTGTGTCGGGGAGGAACAGGTCTATTGTGTTCACCGAGATATCTAACCTTAAGAGTTTTCCGGGAAAATATTTTAAGAGACAGGGTGACTTAATTTTAACTCAGTAAAAATTTATGAAAATTTTTTGTTTTTTCGACTCTTAAAGGCTTCGCAAAAATACCGGTATATATGTACACACGTATTAGGTCAAGTAAAAAGTTCGGTATTTATACAAAAGATGACGTTATTGTCGCATCATATCATACTATACGGCGCTAAAATCGTATTTATTCGCGCAAAAAGTTTGTCTTTCGTAGTTTCTCGACCAATTGACTCAGTTCTTTGTGAGCGCTCGTCAAAGATGGATACCAGCAAAGAGAGAATTCGCTATAGTTTCCAATTTTTCTTCGATCAAAGCGGATCAAAGTTGCTTAAAA